TAAAGTTGAGGTAGTTTCGATCTTTTATTTGACGACCTTGACTTGACATATATTCCCGTCCCTATTCGTCGGTAAGTGCACTTCAATTTAGCGGTTATTGAAATTTGTTATTGTAGGGAAAATCCAAACGACCACGGGCAAGTAATTTTATAAAATCACACCCCACCCCGAGACCTGAAATATAAGTTATATGAAATTCAATTCAATTCGACATAATGCGTGAGATTTGTCTACTAACATTTTCGAAATAATGCAATATTAATTTAGAAAAGGAAGAGGATTGATCGAAAAAATTCATTCTGAAATAAGTCACACACTAAAGACCGCTTAGGTAAACATATTAGGATATGGCCAAATTTTATTTAGTCCAAAAGAGAAGAGCGTCCAACCGAAAAGCAATTTTCTCGGATTTTCTTAACTTCATTTTGAACAATTTTTTTGATTCGGCTGCGAGGAATTAATGTAAAATGTAAATGTAAATGTAAGTAATGTAAACATGTGTTGATTAAAACTATTACTTCTCTTATTAATTTACGCAAATCTTGAAATTTATTCATTTATAATGCCAATATTAATTTAAAAAATACATTAAACATTATGATATAGTAATAACCAAACAACAACAAACAAACAAACTCTAAACCCCTAACAAATAACCCTAAAAAAAATAACTTACGAATAACTAAATTTTGGACAAAAGTTATTAATAGAAAACTGGTTATGGCATGTCATTTCAAACTTAGCTTTTAACAGTAGTTTCTTGAACCGGAACATTTGCCAAATCTTACAATAAATTGTATTTTTAGATTCATCAGGCCCTATTTGTAATTTTTTTGTTGCAAATCTAATTATTGCATTAGAAAGTGTAAGTGCAAACATCTGCAAAGGCGTCGTTTATTTACTTTTTTACTTAAAAATGACGAGAAAAGCAATAAATTTATTTTGTTAAATAAATCATTTGTTGCAATAGTTTATTGTATTATATTTTTAACAGAGCAACATTTTGTGTACAAATTCAGAGTAGCGGATGATTTTGCTAATTTAAATTCATAATTTAAAAAAACAGCTAATTACCAAAATGTTTTTATCATACTTATATAAGATTTCTAATCGGCACGGACTCGATCTTGCACGGTCTTAAATTGCAGTTGTATTTGCTTGCCAGTCAGCGCCTGTTTTAGTCGTCTTAGTAATTTTAAGTTCCACTTTAAGGTATGTAAACCATAGATATAATTTTTCGGCACATATTCTGAATATTATTCGATTAATTTATGATGTTTTTTTAAGGTAAAATATATCTAGGAACTCTCTATAATTGATTTATATTATAAGAGCTCTATATAAGCCTGTTTTTTGTTCCCATTTGTAAAACATAAGTTTACATTTATCAGCAATCGATTTGATATTTAGTGCATATTTGCTATTGTTACAAAATATGTTAAAAATTTATATTCACGAGAAAAAAATACTGATTCTTGATTTGATTTTGGTTATAAACTAAATAAAAATATTATAGACCGAGCTTTAGATAAAGTAAATAGTAGCCGAATAGAATAGAGTTGCGTGGGGTGTCAGTTCGAATGTTACTTAGTACTCAATATAAAGAAAACAGTCAGAAATGTAATAGCTAGCAAATAAATTCCTTGCAAAAATAACCCATGAGGTGTAATATGGAAAATAATATATTATTTTTGTCACCGTCCAATATCAAACAATTCATTATATATTGATAGAATTTGTACAAAACCATAATTGAACAAACATTTTAAATATTTAAATTTAAATACAATTTTTGTTTATATCTTAGACCATTTGATTAAAAATATGTGTGCCAGGTATTCCAAATTCGAGTCACATCATTGGGATGTCGAGCAAAATGACTTTATTTATTATAAATATCAAACCGCGGCCGAAGAAAATTTTACAATTCTCTGAATTTCTTTTCATAGCCATTGCAAAAATAAGTATTGAAAAGTAAATGTGAACTTGGATCCCATTGACAGCGAATGGCAGTCGCAAAAAGAAAAATAAGCAATCCATGTCTTGGAATTAAAAAAAAAATGCAATTTCCGTGTGTAGCTATCGATTTGAAAAACAACAATTTCAAAGGACTTTAATCAATTTGCTTCATAAAATTTTATTACTAAAACCAGCAATCTTTTCGTCGCTACGGTACACGGTCGAATTATCAGTCAGTGTCCAACAGTGTCTAACCTGTATTGCACTGTAATTAAATCTTCAGATACATTTTCAACTTCGGTTTAGGTCAAATAATATTATAAGTCACTTGAAATCGAGTTTGGAATCCTTTCTCTAGAAAAACAATTTTTGAAAAACTTAAAGTCATAAAGAATTCTAAAAAATTCTAAAAAATAAAATTAAAAAAATTCTGTAAAATCTTGTACCCTAAATTTTGCGAAATTTGCGATTTTGCGATCACGATAGTTTTCAAAACTCCGTTTGTGGCTAAACTCTTAAAAGTAATTTACGATCGGTCAAGGACATCCATTTCCAAATTACTAAATCCGAATTTTAATCAAAAAGTCTAAGTCGCCAATTTAAACGGAATTTAAAGTACTAGAAAAATCAATCACTAACAATTTAAAAATTCACAGCCCATTTAAGTAGAAAGCACAAATTCGCTTTCAACTATGTATCCTTTATTTGGACGCTCGAAAATATAAATTTCGCGTAAGCAGTTTTCAAAAAGTCACAATCTATTAAAACAGTTGTAAAATTTAATATGGCTACTAAATTTGATTAAATCATAATTAGTAAATCTAAGAGAAACATAGTAAAAGTTTCATTACAAACTATTTTAAATAGAGTCGTGGGCGAAACCATACAAGTGTTAAATATCCTTTAGCCTTTATAGTCTCCTGATATGAAGTATTAGACGTCTTAGCTGTTAAACTTGTTCGGTTGGTTGCTCGAGGCTCAGTTAAAGGCAAATAATAATAATAATAATAAGGGAAATAATCCTTTCAGGCCATGTTTTTTTAAATACCAATGTACTCTTTAAAAGAAACTTTAAAGAACACAGATGGTATTTGGATATTTGGAAAAGTTTAATAATACAATGGAAGGATCAATGCCCGGGAAGAAAATTTCGGTATCTCCACTTGAATAGATTTTGCTCTATAGTTTATATGTCCTTTTATATTTTTTCGAAATTTTTTAAGCTTTTGTCGACATAAGTAAGAAAATTAAATGGACCAACCATTAGGATGAAATCGCAATTTAACCAAAAGCGAGATTTATTAGTGTCGATTGGAACGAATTAAATATAGATGTAATGACCCCATCACAGCTAAACAACATTTTTTGCAGTTGGTCGTATACATAACTGTTTCTACAGAAGTTGGAGAATTTTTGCAACTATAATCTTGTGCCTAAGGTCTTTATATGTTTATGATGATGTGTTTTCTAAACACAATGTCAACTAACCAAACGGCAAAAATTTTAACGAAATTAATACATCATTTAACACTCGATGTAACATAATAATCGACTAAACATAAAATGAAAAAATAAAATTAGGAATACGATTGCGAAGATATCTGAATTAATCATATTTCATAACTTAATCTAAAGCGAGTCTAACTAATACCCCACAAACGATTGAGATATTATTTTTTCAATGTCATCTTTACTATAATAAGAGCATGCGGATAGAAATGTTACGTTGTGGTTCGCTTCATGCCGAGCCTAGCATAGTTAAAAAAAAACAAACCAAACCGACTAAGCAAAACTAACTATAACTTAAATTTATTTTAGACAGAATTCACTGGATCAACAAAAAAATATGAATGGTTGAAGAATTAATATCGTAGAACAGAGTTTGCAAAGTCGAGAAAATGCGAAAAGCAAAAAGTTCATTATCAAATAGTGCAAACATGTTTTTCGTTATTTGCTTTTAAAATTTCATGAATTGTTTCGAGAAGAGAGAAACAACATAAATTCTACGAGAGAAATGGTTTTTGGAATATACCACGTAATACACATATCAAAGGATTCTGTGTCGTCTAGTTATCTAAAATCGGTATTATTGACTAAGAAATATAATAAATAATCTGAATATTATATGAAATAGGAATCGCAATTCCGCAAAGTAGATTCGATTCAAGAAGCATGCAAACAAAATTTGCGATTGAGTGAATCTACAGAATATTAACCCAATTGAATGAGTAGTCAGTACCTGTGATTCTGTTTCTAACCAAAAATGTATTCAAATATTTGAGTACATCCTCGAATAGACCCTTACATCAGGGACCATCTCTGTAAGGGCCATCAGAGTTGATACTCCTCCTTCTGCTTAAACATCTTTATTTAAAAATATATGCAATACTACCAGTTAAGTTGTATATCACTTAGGTTATAGGAATTTTATATTTTCTTGCTAACATAAAGGGTTTATAATATAGGTGATTTGCCACAAGTCCTAACAAGAGTGTTAAAGGGATTTTAAAATTTTCCGACTAGCGTTTACAGAGTAAAGCTTTAAAAAAAATACAATTAATTGTTTATGTTTTTTTACACGCTGGTAACTAGTTGATTAAATTTGACAAACATGTTCGACCAGATATGAAAGCTCTCCTTTAAAATAAATTTTGATTTTGTTCTATCTTTCAAAAATTGAAAAATGTTATAAACTTGGCCACACTTTGCGTACAAACCACAGTTGGTCACACCTAAATTATTACCAATAGATCCGGTGAACATTTTCAGTGAATTCACCTAATTTACACCTGCATACCTTGTAATCTGAAGAATAGTTGATGAATGTTTGGGTTCCCCGGACTTTATCCTAATCTTCCATAAGGGACACTGAGACTAATTCTTCATTGAACAAAATTAAAGGATGTGCTAAATGCGAGGCAAAAAGGCTAAGTTTTTTGCAAATAATTTATCCGAAACCATTGATCTTCCCAGTGGATGAGACTAACCACGCTCATTTAACAAATTGCAGGCCACATCCCAAATAACCCAAAACAACTTACTTGGTCTATCCAGCTCGTTGTTTTGAACTGCCCCGTCTTCAATACTGTTGTAAATGGAACGTACATAAGGAAGTGAAACCAAAAATATCGCCTTGAGCAACATCATCCGCATCATCGTCACGTTAATCCTTAATAGCGGCACATAATTCAAATTCACTTTCACACACTTTTATCACACGAGAGAAGAACGCAGACGCTTCTTCAGTTTTATACCTGTCACTGCTATTTTACAATTGGCTAAATGGGAACGGATGGCTATCAGTGCTTTTCCTACGAATACAAGTAAATTCCGATCAGCTAACGAATCAACAGTTTCTAATACTTTACGTTACAATTAACACTTATTATCTCAGATTTTAACAACTAACGACAACCCAACAATCACCCGGTAACTTTATGCTAATGATAATTATCTACGAGGGGGGCTTTTAAGCATTTACAAATTGCGGATTTCACCGTTATTGATGTCCGCCATCAGTGTCAGTGTCATAATATATCGCGTAATGTCCCGCTCGGCGGGACAGCGCTGGACGTGACGTTCTTTAGGTAAGCAGCACACGCTGACGCGGTTGGAAACGTACTATCGCGGTGTCGGCGTGTTTGAATGCGCCGTGCCTAAGACCAGCTTTTCGCGCTTGTCGTTAGCGAGAGTCGGGAGCAGAGCGCCAGCATTCTGACGGATTCCGATGCTCTATCAAATTTGAAGGCGTGCTCACTTTGATAAAAACAGATGAATGACTGATTCACCCTGAGAAAACTTCCAGACCAAAATGCTTACCTGGAGCTGATCACAACAGCACCCCCTTTTGTCCGAAGATCTCCTCCAAGCAAGAACATGGAAATGGTGATAGACCATAAAATGTTTTATTAGAGATAAATAGTGTTTTACTATTTTACTGAAAGTTTGTCAGATTCTATAATTCTATAATGACGTTTCGGTGCGTCGCTCAAGACACGAAGAAGTGCCGCTGTGTTCGTTGACTCGGTAAAAGTCTTCGACGCGGCGTGCTGCAAGAGGTGCATGCTCAAGCTGGAAGCAAGAAGAATGCAATAAAAGTTTTAGTAACCAAAAATTTGTGTATACATATATAACATGCAATACAATTGTAATAATATATATTGACACTTTAAGAGTGTCTAAAAATCCTGAATTGACTAAATAGAACACTAATTTAGTATCTAGGATGTCATATACTACTGAAAATTACAATGAAAGGTTTTTTTTCCATACCATCCAAGGACACCAAATTAGCCCGTAGCTGACGTTACTACGTTTAGCATGCTCAATCGTTTTCAAATATGTATAAGCAATATATATGACGTGTCTGCACTTAAGTTTAAGTGCGGACATGTACGAGTGACATGGACGCGCAGCTTCTGATCCGGATCACCATCAGTACATATACTTTCATCCATGAAGGACTGGAAGGACTGGAAGGACAGGAAGGATTGTGATTAAAGCTATTTTTTAATGATAAAAAAAGTAAAAGTCAGTAATCGCAATCTCAATTGTTAGCGACTGACTAAGTAAGAAATAATTCGTATCTAATTATCAGGATTGTAATGAAAACAAGTTTGATTTTTATCTGACTGAACGCAACTTTTATGTCGATATTTGATGCTTGTCTCTTGATTGACTGACGTTTTTATTATTGTAAATTATTATTTAATTATTTAGTATTATTTAAACTGATCGTTAGTTATACGATTATTTTAATGCACATTTTACTACATAAATAATTCTACAATTAATAAAATTGCTTAATTTTTAAGAATTCGTTAGTTTTGGTTTGATGATAATAAATTAATTGAAAATGGGCAAGATATAAAAACTGTTTGAGCAAATCAAAATTATTTAAAAAAAGTAAATCCAATTTTTCTTCGGATTTGTAATAATATTAAAGTTTAGGATAACGATATTGAGATACGGTTTTTACTGGGTGGTTGAGCCCTTATTGACTACCTAATGATATATGAAAAGTGAAACCGTTGAATTAATTCTGTTTTCAGAAAATCTTTTTTTTTTTAATTTTAATATTCACAATTTTTTTTTAATTTTTATGATGGGTGGATTCTCTACTCCCGTAACTCGTTGCCTTTACTGGGACACTCGGTACTTTGTACAAATAGAGATTTCATTTTTATAAATCTCTATATTGATGATACTGCAAGGAGGATTGAAGTTCAGCTAATATGACGTAATGATTCCAATTTGATACAGAGGGTTTGTAAAAAGTAGGTGGTGTCACTGGTGAAAAACACGTTTCAATATGATTTTCTTTCTTGAAAGGTATATGAGAAATTCAAAAAATAAATATTTTTTTATCAAAAGCGAAAAAGTTGGTAAATTTAAAACGGGGTATAAATATCCTAATTCACCCGATGAATCTTATTTTTAATGCGTTTTTAAACTTGTGTCATAATTACAGAGGCCTAACGGTTATTAGCTCAATGGGGAGGTTGTACGGTCGAATATTTAAAAGACAACTTCCAAGATATAGAAGAACAAAGCGGTTTTCGAAAGGGAAGATCCTGTATAGGTAATATATTTGCCTTGCGACAAGTAATGGAAATACGTAGAGCCCACAACTTAACTACCGATTTAGTATTTATAGATCTTGAAAAAGCATACGACACGGTATCCTTGAAGAAAATGTTTGAATTATTAATGACAACCAGACTCAACAATGTATATGTGAGAGCCATCTGGAACCTATATAAAGATATATACCTAATGAAGATGGGAGTATATTAGATCGAACCGTTTTTCAGTGAACAAAGGATTAAAACAAGGCTGTAGCATGTCCCCTACTCTATTCAAAATATATATTCAGGAAGCCCTAAGAGAGTGGAGGGAAAAAATAGCAAATATGGGGGTAGATTTAGATGACAAATATTTGACGAGCCTCTTTTTTGCAGACGATCACGTGATTATAGCTTGTGATGAAGACGACGCAGATTAAATGCTGAGAAAACTGAAAGAACACTATAAGAATTGGGGACTGAATATGAATATGCAGAAGACTGAATATATGAAAGTAGGGGGAAAACACGAAGAACTATATATTAGAAAAATAAAAAGATCTACAAATTATAAGTACTTGGGAAGCGCCACACCGGAAGAAGGTAATTCAAAAACAGACATTCAAAACAGAGCTCAGCAGGGAAGAAGAGCAACTCAAGCGCTTAATAACGCTATTAAAACATGTATGAAAATTAGAATATATGAAGCAGTTCTGGAACCCATCTTAACGTGCGGCGCAGAATGCTGGAAAATGACGAATAACGACAAGAAAGTCATCGACACAGTAGAAGTGGTCGTGTTTCTTCAGGAATGAAGAAATACGAAGAAGAATTGGGGGAATACATACGAGCACTGACCGAATAGAAACTAGACAATTTATATGGTATGGGCACGAACTGAAAATGAACGATGAGAGGTGGTCAAAAAGAGCCCTAAAATATATCCCCAAAAACAGAAGGAAACAAGGAAGACCTATGACCTCATGGAACGATGGTATAACAAATATGTAATGGTATAAGAAATTAATAATAAAGGACAGAGCAATTAAAGAAGATGAGTAGAGGAAGAAAGATAAATGGCGGTCGAAATGTGGGATGTGGCAGAAGCTGTAGGAACCCTGTAGGAATATATATATATATATATATATATATATATATATATATATATATATATATATATATATATATATATATATATATATATATATATATATATATATATATGTATATATATGTATTTTTAACAAAGTAACAAAATCCTTATCCAAATGTCATTATGGGTCTCAGCTCTGCTTTTACTAAAAGTTAGTTTTCGCACGTTGTCTAAAATATTTTTCCTCCATAGTTGAAGAAAATAAAGATACAATAACATCAGCGGATTTGTAGGAAAGAGGAGGCCCAGAAGTTTTTATCAGGCCTACTTTAGACAAGTCGACACTCACTCTTTGTGTTTCGCTCACTCAATGTTAAATTTCATCCTCACTAAAACTTAATATGTATTTTTATGGAATGTCGCCTTAAGCAACAGTTAAAGTCTTATATAAATTAAAAATGCAAAACTCAATCTCGATATAGCTTATTCATATTTTCAAACGGAGTTGGGAAAAATAATGAATAAAAATCGATTAAGTTTTGGTTAGTAATGGTTAGTTTTGGTTAGTAATGGTTAGTTTTGGTTAGTTTTGAAAGTTAATAAAAGGAATTCTTGAAAATTCAATAATGAGTTGCTCCTCAACTTAAGTTTTGGTATTCTGCAACTCTACGTAGCATGCTGCCAATAAGTAGTTCCTGCCAATCTAATCTTACTTCATGACGTTAAAGTTGTACATCCTGTATAAGATCAGGCAACCGACTCAGAATTTCTAGTTAGTGTGTAGCGGTATGTGGTCTGGCATTGCCTTCGGAAAAAATATATCTTGTAGTAGTCACAGTTTGTAACACGTTATTAATAATTAGTAATAATTAGTAAACATATTCTCACGTCGCAGAATTGCAACCGCAAAAATCCAAAATACAAACTTCCTAAACCACATTGCTCTAAAATCTTTAAAATCTAATCCCGACATCGTAATTCTAAAAGCAAATAAAGGAAATACTACGGTGGTCATGAATACAACTCACATAAAAAAGATCCTTTTAATCTGTTACTCTTGTATCAGAATCACTGAAAAAGTCTGTCGTCCCTCATGACTCTAAAATTCTTCGCCTCTACGGACTCCCTTGGATTCACAAACCAGGATTACCTATTCGACCCATTGTCAGCACCATTGGTTAGTTAGTTAGTTAACTTATATATTACAGGAAAAACTCATGGTTTTGTACTTAATTACCTTCATTCATTGAGTAACTATTGTTAATTATATTAGATCCAAACGATATTCTGGTTAGTTTCGACGTAGAATCTCTCTATACTAAAGTCGCTATTCTTGAAACACTCAACATTAGAATCTGGAACCAAACTTTCTTGGAAACCGTTGACAAAAAAGCTCTCAACGCCTTCCAACTGAAACCAAAATTACGGAAACGCTACTTTGATGATCTTTTTGTTATTTGGCCTCATGGTCAAGAATCCTTCCGAGATTTTCTTAGCAATTTAAACTCTGTACTCCTAACATACGTTTTACTAATAATCATCTCCCATTCTTGCATATTCTTATCAATAGAAAATTAGATCCCTCACCCATCATTCTGCTTACAGAAAACCTACGCACATAGACTGATCCGGCCCAAAAATCATCGGTTATCAACTCTCTTGTTTACAGAGCCGTAGCTCATCACCGATGATGATGATTTCATTTCATTTCATTCATCACTGATTGATGATTCCAGTGACTGACATTACGCCGGACGAAACTGTCTCGTGGCTAATATACCTATAATTCTTAGGAGCCGTTCATAGCGGATTCTTCCCAAAGCCCCGGTGACCGTACACGGTGATGTACAGGGCACTCCGTCATACATACATCTTGTTTCCAATTTCCCGAAAGATCATCTTAGTCCGACTAGTGTCAGGCCCACTATCCTACCTCGTCCAAATTTAT